GATGACAAGTGCCTCAAAGCTTGTTATAAAGATATTTTTTGGTTATGGCACCTCCGATTTGAGCATGTCAACTTTGGAGGACAAGAGTTACATTCAAAGAAAAAGATCATGAGAGGTCTTCCTTGTATCAAAAATATATGAAGCATGTTTACTTGGGAAGCATTAAAAAAAATTTCATAGAGAAACAATTTCGAAAAGTATTATAAAACATTCGATCCAACCTGACAGAAGGATCATTGTCGGCAGCCATTGGTTGCTTCGTACAACGGTATCTTGTAAAATTCGGATGAATATTTATTTAAGGGTACAATTTTGAAGCCACATTAGCTAATAAAGAGCTTTATGCCTTATCGGTCATATCCTATTGATTCATTACTCAAGAATTTGAAGCTGTTGTAAAATATACGATCTCTGACCATGATCATAATTTAATAGTGTCATTTGGCTGCAAAACCGCCTGGTCAGAGGTTCCCAGTCATAATCGTTTACATGTGCTGTCATTTGGCGATGAAACCATCGATTAGAGAATATGTTTCAGTCCTTGCAAGAGATAGTTTGAGAATGAATCCTAATAATATATTTGACCAGACATTTGTTATTTGTGAGCTAAAATAATTTTCAGATTTGTCCATCTCGACTAGCTATTGCGGAGGGCCAATAAGTATTTCTGCTTTAAGTATTTTGGTGATTTATTTTAATTTTAAATATTGACATCATTGAGTGTATTTTTATAAGAATTGTGAGGTATTTTCAGATATTTGGGGTCTCTCTAATTGAGATTTTCTATCAACACGGTCATTATTGGGATAATTATGAAAAATTTTATTTTATTAGTTGAACCTATATCGACTTTGTATATTTGATGTGAGGGAAGATCAAGAGCTGGCAGTAAGTCTGTGGGATCTTCAAATGGGAAATGGGTGACGGACTGGAACTGAGCCTTATTCGAAGGAGTTGGGCGATGTTCGTGGTTCTATAGGTGGTGCGGACGAGGTCGGGAGGCATGTGGGGAGTTCGGTGCCTTATTGCAGACGGACGGGAGCGGTCGACAGATGTTTTTGCCTTCAATTGGGCTGTTAGATGGAAGGTAGTTGAGCAGGGATCGATTATTGGATGGTGCGGGAAGATTAGATTGGTTGATGGGAATGAGCGGCTTGTGGTAGGTTGAGGAAGAAGAAGACATCGATTTTGATGAGAGATCAACTCGCGAGGTCAAGCCACACGGGGATTCACGTGTGCAGTTGGTTCGACAAGAGTGAAGGAGTATTCGTGAACAGTTTCTTGTGTGCAGGGATTCGAAAAGAGGAGGTAGGTAGAAAGGGAGGAAGTTCGGTTTTGTGTTTTTAAGCGTAAGGAAGCGTCGAGAGTGTAGACGGAAGAGGGGCTGGGGGCGCCCGTGTGCAAAGAAGAGCCGAAGGCTCTGTTCATTCTCATTTTAACGAGAGTAAGGGCATCTCCAATGTAAAATCTCATTTTTCACTCCAAAATGCAGTGAAACTAAAAAATGTCATGATTCATCTCCAATCGAATGTCGTTTTTCCCCGTAACTGTCGTTCTCTTCTTTCGCGCCTTTCTTCTACAAGTTCGGTAGAGACCAATTTTTGGCGCAGATGAACAGTACAACGCCAATATTGACGTCGCACTGTTCATACGCGATCAATTGGTGTCAAAAATGGCAGTCAGTTGGAGCAAAGCAAGAACGGCAAACAAGTGTTTACTGTTCCATTGGAGTTTCCCTAAGGGCGGAGCGAGTGCGGAATTTGCGCAGTGAACGTGGGAAGAGACACGATAATTCGACGCTACAGGGAATGGGCGGCCGAATGCGAAAGATTTGGGAAGGATTTTGGGCAGGACTTTGGCAGAGGTAATAATAATTTTTTTTTATGTGTAGGTCAACAATATAAATATGACAACTCACTTAGACTTAAACCTTGTTTGGGATAACTGTCTTACTGCTTTAATTTTCAGATTGCAACCACAATTTTTATTTGGTCATTGCTTTTTCCCTGCTTTTAAGAACTTTTTTGTGTTAGAAAGTTATTTTTTATTGCATCTTTAAAAAAGTTATTTTCTCCACAACAACTTCACAATTATATTTACTAAAAGCTATAGCCGTCTGAAATGAACCCTAAATCCAGTTGTTAGCCTATACATGAATTCAATTGAATATAAGGCATCAAATTAATGTAAGTCAATCAAATCTTTTTGGGTTTTCCCATATGTTGGGTTTGGATCCTTCAATCTTCAAATTAAGCCAAATATTAAAAAAATGATGACAATTTGAATGCAAAGAAATGCAAATCTCTCATAACCATGTGTCATCTTGATTATAGAACGAGGCCTTTAGACCCACTAGCTAGGGAGTGGTCTCCATCACGTAAGTAAGAAGCCCAAATCTCCAACATTTTTTAAATAAAAACTATAAGTTTCAATATCTAGGAACCTCATAGATGGAGCGATAGGCTATTTTTCTTCAACTCCAAAAGTAATTATGTGCATGAAACATGAATCAAGCTCCCAAAAAATAGGGTAACATAACAAGTATGAAGGACAAATTGCATTAAAATATATTGTAATGCATTTGCAAAAGACATTCAAAACTCTTTCAAGCAAGAATTCACAAAACCCCAGAAGGGTGAGCCCCCCAAAAGACCCGATTGTGTATCATAGGATTTAGGTATATAAACAGTTTTAGATTTTAATTTAAATTGAAACATAGAACCTATAGGATTCCTATTGGTGCTTCTTCCCTGGTTCAGCATATTTTTAAGTAACATTAGGATTAGGGGTTTACCCCACGTAGTGGGATAAAGGCTTGATGTTGTTGTTGTTGTATTAGGATTAGGGGTTTTGAGGCAAATATTGGTGGAATGAGCAAATGGAACACAAAATTCACAAGACAGCAGTATTTAGTCATGCTAGGCTTAAAGATTAAAGATTATCCCATGAAGAGAAATAGGGATTTCATCAAGAAGTTCAGATTTCCCATCAATTTTAACACAAGCACATGCAAAGGTGAGACGGAATCTCTTAGCAGTAAGCCGATCGATAGCTAAAGGTATCCCAACAAAGCTAGCAATCATAGAAATACCTTCAGGATTCCCGCACACTGACAATACATCATGGATCTTGACTCGCAGAGGGATTGAAGTCTTCATGTTTAGGAACAAAAAATGGAGACCATTTTCCAAGATGAAAGGTTTTCGAAGTAAAAAAACAAAGGTCCGCAAGACCAAATCACATCATAGTCTTCAAATTGAGAAAAACGTAAAAATCATCTGATAAGGCTACTAGAGCAAGATTATCTTTGAGGAGCCAAACTTTTTCATGTTAGTGAGAAGAGCTTCATAGTAAGGATGTTTATCAAGCGAGTAGCTGATTAATGTAAGATTCCAATGTTTCGCACTGTTGGTAATCAGATATGACGTGAAATTAACCATAGAGTCCATAGGATGATGGAAAAAGACTGGGAAATCCATCAGAGAGGAACTCCGAGAAGAAAGCGCATTTTTTCCATTTGAAAGCATCGGCAGTGGTCTCATCATTAGGAAAAACAATTTCGTAGACTGAGGCCCAGAAGGAAGAAGAGGAAAACCTAAGATGAAGGGGGTCATACGACTCCATATAGAGGAGTCAGACATCTAACAGAGCCGGAGAAAGAGAGAAAAATGAAAGAGGAAATAGAGAGGTGACTATATTGAGGAACTCCAGAGAGGGCTCCTTTTCTTTCCAGACTTTGTCTTCTCACCACATAGAACTAATTTATATTGTATAAATTCAATGCATATACCATAACGTATTAATAAACAATTGCAGAAGAAAATTAATAAAACTAAACAAGTTACTAATGGGTCAGCAAACTTCTAAAAGGAAAAACCTAGCAACAAAACAGGCATTGGTAGCAGCCCTTCCATATGTGAAGCATGTTCAGCCTCTGTTCTTTTAATTTTAAGTTTTGTTGATGGCATACTCTTCTTAAGAATTTCCTAGTAAAACATCAAGGAGTTCAAGAAGTTGATATCTTATTTTCATCACTTATTTTCTATTTCAAGTCAACTAAACATGATTTGGAGTTTATTTAAAATCAAATCAACTTCAAAACCCAACCAAGTCAACAATAAAGACAAAAAGTCCAAATCAGGCTAAGTACTATGAATTTTATTTGAATTAGAAAAATAGATATCTCCGAGGTCTCTAAAAAGTAGGGGTGTCAATATATGGGCCGAGCCTCTAATCCGATCTGATTCGGACTTGCCCATTCAATAAAAGAGTTAGATTTTGGTTCATAATTTTAACCAGTTTATCAAATGGGTTGAATTCGGGTTAATTCGTGAAACTAATTTAGACCTAAAAGTGACTCATTTATTTATTTATTTATACTTAAAGTCTATTGCAAGTTAGTATGATCTTCTTATTTTATTATCAATTAACATAAACTCTCAAATTAATCATAATGGATTGTTGGCCGAATTCAGCTCATTTGAGTTGCTAGCAAGATGTGATTGAGTCTAACATTTTGACCTGTTTATTAAACCGGTCGAATTATCAATTTAAGGTCAAACCCAAATCCGACCATTTAACCCATTTTGGCATCCACTTTTTATAATTAGATCTGCTGCTTCTTTTTAAACCTAATATAGTAACTTTAAAATATATATTCCACTGCAGCTGAACTCATGGCAGATTTTCATCAATAAGGAGCCGGTCAAAAGAAAGAGGCCACCAGCTTACAAAAAATATAAAAAAATATATACATAAATGACCTATCATCCCGAGTCTTAAATATAAGAACAAAATGATATTATATGTAGAACTTGCTCAGCAGAAAATGATCCAGTAATGTATCATATTGTATGGACTTAATATGAACAAATATTACTACATCAATAAAGACAAATTAGAATGGTATTAGTTGACATTGTGATAAGGGCCTGCATAACAGTTCAATATGAAATATCAGCACATCAACATCCCATGGAGTAGATCAATTCCTACTACGCTAACTAATAGAAATGATTCCATTAGAACATTTTATTTGAACAACATTGATAATTTTTTGTCCTTTCAAGCGAAAAAGAGAAGGAAAAATAGATAATCCTCCGCCTATAACTATACTGAACATGGCATTTAAAAAAAAATTGTTGAACTTCAGTAGAGAAAGGGAACTACAAGTTATCTACAGGTTACAGTAGACAGCAGAAAGCTCTTCCAACAAGAAAATCTAAGAAACCAAATTGATTTAAGGGACAGTAACATAGAAATAGTAAAACCATACCAATCTCCTTTGAGTTTCGATTGTGTTCTCCATCAAATTCTAACCAAACAAAGTGAGATGACGGAAGAATTCTTGATTTCATGGAGAAATCACAATTTTAAGCAGTAAAAGTACTCAATCACAAGTTTAACATACTCAAGTCAGCATAAGATCATTTGTTCCAAGATGTGGGGGACGCATAGAGACATGAACTTCGTGCTCTTCTGTCTCAGAAACACGTTTGGGAACCATGATCTCTAGAATGGTGCCGGTCTCATCATAATATGCTTCCATCCTAGCATCTTCAGGAATTCGAGTGGCAAGAGGAATTTCTCTGACAAACTCTCCAGGAGGGCAATGCTCAGGGGAAGGGTCTGTCAGCTTAAAAGTTCGGTCATGTCTCTTTATATGAGGCATTCGAGCAGTGCTGATACCAGATATCTTCACTATTCCATGAGTAAGACCATTCCTCCAACAAACCTTCACTCTATGTTGATCTGAGAAAGGCAGGGTCACCATTATGAGATAACCATTATCATCTTCATATATTGTTTTGGCAGCAGTAACTGGACCACATACATGTCTCATCACACCACTAAAATGATTGATCCATGAAGGCTCGCCTTGATGCAAGTCCATATCATGAGGCCTATCGGAATAGGAATTTACAGGCAAGCAACAATCTTCATCCATGGCTTGTGGGGGTGAATCCTTTCTGCGCTTCGGGTTTATTGGAGATAGAATCATCATATCACCTTCCTGATTCAACTGGTTCAACCCAGAATCATTTAGCAATCTCCTAGGAGAGACAAGAAAGTTGCTTTTTGATAGAGGAGGAGGTCTCTCAATCTCTAAATCAGCACCAGGGAGATTTCTCCATGAACTGAAATCACAGGCTTCGGGCGGTATGGAGAAATTTAGATCCCTACCAGTAAGCTCCACCCACTTCTTCTGATCGGCCTCTGCAACAGCAGCCAAATTAGGCAATTTCACGACCTCTACCCCATGAATACACTGTGGATTTGATATCCCTTTGTACTGCTTGCGCTGCATCCGGTGGGATCGAACAAACCCCTTGTCAGCAGTGAAAGGGAACGGTGGCTCGCCAAGCCGAGAGTGCCCGTTCATGTAGCTCCGAAGCTGCATCTTTCCCAACGCATTATCGGGCCTCTCCTTGAAAACCCACATATACATGTTCTCCATGTCATGCTGAACCAGGAAAACATCAAGTTTTAGATCAAATTTGTCAAAACCAGAGAGTCCATTTCCATCTTGTGTGATCTTGCCCTTGGATTTCTCCAAAAGAATGGGTTTGAAGTAGAAATTGAAGAAAAACCATGCCCCCCAAATGCTTTCCCCCCTCTTTGTGCACTTTCGGCTGCTCTCCTTTTGGAGATGGAAGATGGTGGCTTCAGTCTCATTGGCATGTGGACCAAGGCTGGCGTCAAGTCTCTCGCATGAATCCGAGCTCCATGGCAAGGCGGAGCGATCAGCAGAGAGGGGAAGATTGATGTCAGGCGCGGGAAGGGAAAGGGATATCTTCTGCCTCTGTAGGATGATTAGTTCGCGCTCGGATTCCTTGTGGGATGCAGCCATGGCAGTGGCGCTGGTGCTAAAGGGTTCCATGGATAAGAAGATCGATGGGTAGTGTTTCTCCATGGTCAAAGAGGTCATGAAGGATTCACCCATGGAGATTTCTTCAGGGACAAATCTAGAAATCTCCCTCTCCTTCGCCTATAATTCCAAAGTAGTCGGAAAGACGAGCATTCCATGACAAAAACCTCGCAATCCTATTACATAAAATCCATCGCCAAAGCCGCACAAAAAAATGAAAATGTCAAATATAATTCCCACAAAACCATCACAAAGAAGACAAAAAAAAAGAGACAAGAAAAAAAATTTGTCCTTCATTTTAATCGGTCTAAGTTCCCAATTTAAAAAAATCTTGAATTTAATGTCTTATAGGTTTGAATTTGAGATTAAATTCACTTAAATAAAAGAAAAAAAATCACTTTTTGATTGAACCGATCAAATTTGAATGGATTTATCGAGGATCTGTGACTTAATAAAAGGTGAGAATTTGTATCCAAAGAACGGCAATATTATATAGCAAAACATATATACCATATCATTGTAATTGGTAACTAGTTTGATTGAAGATGATTTCACCTCAAAGTTTTATAATCATTAATAAAACTTATTTTGATTCGATTTAGTATGTGGCCCTTTTGGTTGAGGGGGGAGATAGAATATTGTGGAATAATAAGGATTTCTTTCTAAAAAATTAAAAAAATTGTAGAAAGATGAATAATATGCTCAATCCTATGCAGATTATAAAAACAAAATGATGAAAAATATGTACCTCAAGATAATCATTCTTTTATTTGTCATACAAGAAGAGCGAAAAAAATTATAGGGTCTATACATATAAACATGAAAAATGATCTAGAAGAGGATGATTCTGTGTGGACGCCGAACGCCGTCCTGAGACCAATTAGAATGTGTCATGTCATCCCTTCGCTCAATATCGTAGCTCGGTACCGCTTAGTACCGCTTGGTACCGCAGCTTGATACCACTGACGTGGTTGCGCCTAATTCGCCTACAGACATAAAGCTGCGTTCGACCTCACAAAATAATTTCTCCTAGAAGAGAGAGAGAGAGAGAGAGAGAGGGATGGAGACAATTTAAACATAAAAGATGATTTAAGAAGAGAAGGAGATGAAGAGGGTGATGGAGATTGTATTATGATAAGGCAAAATTATTAGGTGAATATTATGTACATAACTCGACACTTGATGCTTCCCCTATTTTCTATGATAATTATTGTGTAGGATAACCTACAATAATTTATTCTATCAAACCATTTTTCTAGTTTTGCTTAGCATATTTAGAATCTGCATCTTTTCTTAAATTTAGGATTTGAAGCTCTGGTTAAAAAAATATTAAATGATGAGCTAATGGCTAATGCTCTCGAACTCTCGCCTTCCATGGAAGCCAACAATAGCCACAAATAAAATAGATAAATTTTAATTTAAAATACCTAGTAAAAATTTGCTCAATTGTATTCATTAGATTTATTTTACAATTTAAATAACATATAATTGTCCAATCCAACCCATACTACATTATATTTATTCCGAAAATTTTAATAGATGGAAAACCATTCCTCGTTAAACTATTAGCAAATTATGATTTAGTTTGAGACAACTTTTTTATTGTTTTTTAAAATAGCTTTTTAGTTTCTAGTAAATTTTTTTTTTTACTTTTTATGCTAAAAAATTGCTTTAAGAAACAGTAAAAAAATCAATCACAAACAAAGCCTATATCAAAAAATGGCAAAAAAATATTAATCATACAAAAATTATGATTGCGGTTAAACTACATAGTGATAAGTAATTATGGAAAAGGGCTATCAAGCTGAAGTCCTAGCTTTTTTGAGAGAGAAACTCCGCTAGGATGCTTGTCTCCCTCAGTGAAGGTTTTTTTTTTTTTCCTATTTAAGTTCTCTACACAAGAAGATTAAGAGATGGTGCAGTCTCGTGGGGCATGATTTATTCTTGGAAAACCTTTTATTTTCCAAAAGTGGACACCTCATTTTAGTCCCAAACGTGAAGAGTTTAATTATGTTCCCATGTGGTTTAAAATTCATGATCTACCCCTTTGTTGTTGGACCCCTACTGGCATTTTCGAAATCGCGCTAAAATCAGGATACCTTAGCTGTTGACACTCTCACGTCTTATAAATCCATGCTAACTTATGCTAGGGTTTGTGTTCAAGTTGACTCTTCTGCCACCTACCCTGAATCGGTTCCTATTTCTGTGGTTGGTAAAGTATTTGACCTCAAGATCGAGTATGAGTGGAAACCTCTATTGTGTGGACTCAGTAAGTTGCTGAATCATACCATGAACGCCTACCCTTCAAATCCCGATCCCCCGAAGCAACCTATTTCTATAATCTTTAGAGGGAGAAGTACTAATCGGAGGCCTAGAATGAGGGCCCCATCTAAAAACTCCAAGGGTATTTTAGCCCGCTCAAGACCCTAACCAGAGTTTGACAACTCACCCTGCTCAAATCACTGTGACTGATGTACCTTGTCTAATTGACAAGGTTCCAAACACTTCTTCCGCTAACCCGCCTGCTTTGGCTACCCTCATTGAAAACCCAATACCCAATCTCAATTTCCCAACAACTGAGGCAACTTCCACTGAATCTAGCCTTCTCACAGAAGACCCTATTTACTCTAAGGCTGCCTCCAATAATAAATTCAGCATCCTTGCTGAATCTCCAAATTCTAAAGCCTCTACCTCTGAGAAACTGGAGAAAGCCAAGACTCCTTAGCTCACAGTGAGCTGCCTAATGCCAACAATGCTTCCACCCAACTTGTAGACTCCTCAACTCACCAACTCTCCAACTCACCCAACTCTTAAGCTCCCAAAAAATACTAATCCTACCATCAATCAGAGACAGTAAAACTAGGAGCAAGGGCACCCAAAAAGGCCCAAACAACTCTCATAAGCATTCATGACTTTCCCAACTATTACGAGTTAGGTCTTTCCTATCTTTTCTTTTTGCTTTATAGCTTTCTGGCCTTTCTTTTTTTCGTTTCTTTTTTGGGTTCATTTTACCTTATTTGTACACCTTTTTACTCATAATGGAATAGGCTAATCCCTCAATTTTCACAAAAAAAAAGTAATTATACTTAATCTGATTAATAACGGCTAGTGACAGTATTTCACTTATAAGAGTTCTATTCGCATAAAAAGTCATATTCATAGAGCTAAAAAACTTATACCACACTGAGCGATCAAAAGTATGAAAGTACAACACAATTCATCAAACATGTCTACTAGATAAGATAAAATAAAACTTATAATAATAGTTTTTAGTCAACTTCCTCGATCTTAGGCCCAGCTCCACTGCCACCTGCTGAGGGACCATCTTCATCCATGCCGCCAGGCACATCAGCTCCAGCGCCCTGATACATCTTAGCAATGATAGGGTTGCAGATACCCTCAAGCTCCTTCATCTTGTCCTCAAACTCATCGGCCTCCGCCAGCTGATTACTATCAAGCCACTGAATGGCTTGGTCAATGGCGTCCTCGATCTTCTTCTTATCATCTGAAGGGAGCTTAGAGGCGATCTTCTCATCCTTGATGGTGTTCCTCATGTTATAAGCGTAATTCTCCAATGTATTCTTGGCCTCCACCTTCTTCTTATGCTCTTCATCTTCAGACTTGTACTTCTCTGCTTCTTGGACCATGTTTTCAATCTCTTCCTTGCTGAGACGGCCCTTATCGTTGGTGATGGTAATCTTGTTCTTCTGCCCGGTGGTTTTATCCTCCGCCGAGACATTCAAGATACCATTAGCGTCAATATCAAAGCACACGGTGATCTGCGGCACACCCCTTGGAGCAGGAGGGATGCCGGAGAGCTCAAACTTGCCTAGCAAATTATTGTCCCTGGTTCTCGTCCTCTCGCCCTCATAAACCTGGATCAAGACGCCGGGCTGATTGTCGGAGTAGGTTGAGAAAACTTGCTCCTTTTTGGTTGGAATGGTTGTGTTTCTCGGTATCAGCACGGTCATGACACCTCCAGCAGTCTCCAGACCAAGGGAGAGAGGAGTGACATCCAAGAGGAGTAGATCTTGCACCTTCTCATTGCCCTCGCCACTTAAAATGGCCGCTTGAACTGCAGCACCATAAGCAACAGCCTCATCAGGGTTAATGCTCTTGCAGAGTTCCTTTCCGTTGAAGAAGTCTTGGAGCAGCTGCTGCACCTTAGGGATCCTGGTAGAGCCTCCAACAAGAACAACATCATCAATAGTGCTCTTGTCCATTTTAGCATCCCTCAAGCACTTCTCCACTGGCTCCATGCATTTCCTGAATAGGTCCATGTTTAGTTCCTCAAAACGTGCGCGAGTAATTGTGGAGTAAAAATCAATGCCTTCATAGAGGGAATCAATTTCAATTGTGGTTTGTGCAGTGGAGGATAAGGTCCTCTTCGCTCTCTCACATGCTGTTCTTAACCTCCTAAGAGCTCTAGCATTGCCGCTGATATCTTTCTTGTTCTTCCTCTTAAACTCCTGGACAAAATGATTGACCATCCTGTTGTCAAAATCCTCTCCACCAAGGTGAGTGTCTCCAGCTGTGGCCTTCACCTCAAAGATTCCTTCTTCAATGGTGAGAAGGGAGACATCAAAGGTACCACCACCTAAGTCAAAGATGAGAACATTCTTTTCGCCGACACTGGTGGCCTTCTTGTCAAGACCATAGGCAATTGCAGCGGCGGTCGGTTCGTTGATGATTCTCATAACATTTAGTCCGGCAATGACACCGGCATCCTTGGTGGCTTGGCGCTGTGAATCATTGAAGTAAGCAGGGACAGTGACAACAGCGTTCTTCACAGTTGATCCTAGGTAGGCCTCAGCAATTTCACGCATCTTTATTAAGACCATGGAAGATATTTCCTCAGCAGCAAACTGCTTTTCCTCGCCCTTATATTGGACAACAATCATGGGCTTATCTCCAGGACCAGCAATAACTTTGAAGGGCCAAAGCTTGATATCACCCTGAACAGGCGCGTCACTGAATCGCCTGCCAATCAATCTCTTGGCATCTGCATTTAATGGAAGCTTGTTAGAGAAAAGCTGAGCACATTTATCAGATTACACTGAAAAGAAATGAAGGGTGCAAGGAGAAGATGAGTGTAGTGGAGATTTTAATTGTTAGAAAACAAGGACAATTTAAGATAAACACTCCTTTATCTCATATCAGATCAATCTGAAATATTAGTATTACAAAGGTTCTAGGAGTTAGATGTTGACCTATTAATTAGTATTAAGCAATTAAAAAGTGGTGTTCTTCTTACCTAGTGATAAATTTAAATAAAGGCTGTTGCAACTAGTGCTGTGATGAACGTGCATGGCCCATTTTCAAATCAAATGATTTTATTATGAAATGTTCTTATTTCTAATAAAATCATTTGATTTGGTTGCATGAAGGATGAACCATAATTTCATTAATATATTCCATTACTTAATTTCACCTACAATATGTCTGTCTTTATGATTCATTTCATTGATGATCTATATCACCAAGTTTTCATAGATTTTCTTAAAACTAGCAAGTTACTACTTTTTTTTTGTTCAATTCAATTTACTCATAATCAAGGGTGTTGCCAAGTCAAGTCGTGCACTAATCAATGCAAACTCAAACTAAGCTTGTATGTTCAACAAGTTAGTCCTCTCACAAGAAAAAACATAGGGCTCAACCCCATGCACGTGGCTCGAGTCGTCCAAGAGCTAATTAAATAAGGCAGCAACAAGAGATCGCTACAAGTACTCGCTATACAAGTCAGCAATAGGTGCTCTCCATATAACTAATTAATGGGTGGTCACAGAGAACGCTGCAACAATTGCTTGTTGGAGAAAGCGGTAATGGGACTAACAATGAGACTCCGCAGAGAAAGAAACGATGGAAATCATAGGCGAGGGCAGCGGCGATAGCTCACTAATGCTTCCGAAGCATGAGAATAAGTAGAGATCATTGAAGCGTTAAATTCAACGACTTTGATCTCATGAGCTAAGCTAGCTTAAGCTAGTTTGATATACAAGCTATAATTTGAGATGAACGAGCTCATGGTTCTATAAACCTGACTTACAAGTTCACTAATGAGTACTATTTGAGCCAACTCAACTCACCTACACCCCTAATCATAATCATTTGCTTGACTCTCCTCATAATCTAATCATTATTATTTGATAAACCATAACTTGAAGTTTGAGAAAATATACTTAGACAACTTTATACCCATAAGGAGATTTCTTATTACAAACTAATATTCTTCTCATACAATCCTTTAAAAAAAAAAAATCATGACTTTGCGTATCAAAAAATTTCTCTATGCACTTTAAAGGGTTATTCAGTATCTTATTATAGGCAAGATTTAAGCATTACTTAACTTAAACATACTATTATAAAATTTGAAGTTCCAAAACTTTCCATAAAATATTAAAATCAAATACGATGTAATCCTGGTTTATAAGCAAATTCAAGATTTAGTAAAACCTAAAATTTCGTATCAAAAAATTTCTCTATGCACTTTAAAGGGTTATTCAGTATCTTATTATAGGCAAGATTTAAGCATTACTTAACTTGAACATACTATTATAAAATTTGAAGTTCCAAAACTTTCCATAAAATCAAATACGATGTAATCCTGGTTTATAAGCAAATTCAAGATTTAGTAAAACCTAAAATTTGCAAGATCTACACAATTTAGGCTGGAGTTAAAACTACTTTCATTATCCCTTTATTCTTCGTCATTGCTAGGGGTGTCAAAAAATGACCCTACCTGCCAATCTTGCCCAAAAAATTCAAATTCGAGTTAACCCATTTATTACAGATCCTATTTGGGTATGTAATTCCAACCCATTTATTAAATAAGTCAAGTTTAGGTTGAGCCACCAATTAGATTTTGACCCAAAATGACCTGTTAAAATTATTTTCTTCTTAAAGAGAGATGATGTTACTAAAATCCTAATGCGTTAAATCCTGCTTGCTGCCAGACACCCTTACACTGCATCATTAAATATAATAATATATAATAATAAATAATATATAAATATTAATCTAATGATTGTTTTATTATATTTAAAAGCAGCGAAGCTGAAGACACACATGGGATTTTAATAATTTTACTATTTGGAATAGAAACCAAAAGGCTAAACGGATGATTTATAGGCTTCCTTGAATTAAAAAATTTTTTTTTGTACTAAAAAGCTTTTAGAAAGTAATGAGAACAGTATCCCGATGCGAAACCTTAACCCATGCTGCCTTCCAGATTTACACATGCAAATAAAAAAGCAAGACTTATTGACAAATAGAATCAACGAGATCCTACAATGCCTAGGATCGTAAGACAATCTAAGGCCTAACTTTCATGATATCAGTAGTGAAGCATCCTAGCACTCGACGTAATCCTAGTTAGGTAAAACAGCATACTCAATCAAGAAATTGAAGAAATAACAGATCAAGCCAACACAATCTAAAACCCAAATAACGCATATATCTAGGCTCAAAACCAAAAACAAGCACCATTCAAAACGGAATCATAACTCTAACGGATCTGAAGAAAGAAGAGATTTTTTACCGAAGACGGTTTTGTCGGATTCATGGCAAACGCTGATTCTTCGCGCATCGCCGATTAGACGCGCTCGCTGTCGGTAATGCGACGTATGAAGGCGTGGTGCGGTTGCCCTGGTCATTCGCAATTGATCTCCACACGGTCATGCTGCCAACGCCGACGCACGAGTACGTCGTACCGAGATCAATTCCGATCGCCGGACCTTCGCTTTTTCCAGCCATCTTACCGGTGAAGCATAGAAAAATGCGAACGCGCCGAGAGAATTTAGGCAGAAACAAAAGGAATTGTAGAATGAAACCCTAGCTTGGCGAGACCCGACAGATTGAAGGCAGTATTAATAGTTGAAGAGATGAACTTCTAGAAATTTCTATTTGTTGTGATCCGTTGGATCATATGCTGGCTCACGTATGACCGCACCGATTCGCTAATCATGTGGGTGGAAGAGCAGAGATGTTCGTTGCGGTTGGATTGATGTTTTGAGATATTTGGCCGTCCGTGTGGCGTGTTTTTTGTCGAATATTAATACAAGATAAATCCTTTCTTGTTGAACCTACTCTCAACTTGTTTTACTTCAAAATGCACGCCCGGGCCTTGGGCGACGTGGCTTCAGCGTATCGTGCGTTGATAATGAGTGTTCAAATTGGGTAATTGGTCAGATAACATTGACGGGCAGTTATGTAAATTAAAAGAAATACATTTGAAAAAATAATTTTAAAATGAGTATACTTTAGAAAAAAAAAATTGTTTAGCAAAATTTATATCATATTTGTACATATCATATCATGTATCATGTCCTAATTATCCTTAATATCTACTTTTATCTTTGAGTTGAGTGGCAAATATTTCTTAAATATTAACTCAAACAAATGTATATATAATATGAATGTTTTGAATTTAAATACAAGGCTACAATGTCTATGGAATATTAATTTTTTAAAGTAAATGTAATTTTTATTTTATATAGATTATATAAGCATTCCACATCAATGTATATGAATTCATATATTTATTTA